TGAAACAACACGAGGCCAGGTGGCCAGGGGCAAGGGGAGACGATCGATAACTGATGTGATTCGGTGTAATTGGTTCTATACAAAAACCCTGATTGTTGACGGCCGTGTTGCAGCTGGTTGTATTGAAACATGAAGGGCAGATGATGGTCTGGTTTTCTATCAGTAACCTGGTTAAAAGGTCCATAAGGAGGGAGGGGCGTCTGAGAAGGATGAGGTATGTGGGGAAGAGGTATGTGGGGAAGAGGTATGTGGGGAAGAGGGATGTGGGGAAGATGGATGTGGGTAGGAGGGATGTGGGGAGAAGGGATGTGGGGTAGAGGGATGTGGGGAGGAGGGATGTGTTGAGGAGGGATGTGGGGTAGAGGGAGTAGGGAAGAGCGATGTGGGGAAGAGGGTGTGGGGAAGAGGGATTTGGGGAAGAGGAGTGTGGGGAAAGAGGGTATGGGAAAGAGGGTGTGGGAAAGAGGGATGCGGGGGAAGAGGGATGCGGGGGAAGAGGGTGTGGGGAAGAGGGTGTGGGGAAGAGGGTGTGGGGTAGATGGTGTGGGGAAGAGTGTGTGGGGAAGAGGGTATGGGAAGAGGGTTTGGGGGTGGGATGTTTTGTTTCAGACTATGAATTCCCACATTGAGGTTAGTTAGGCCTGCTTCGTGTATATACTAGTGTTATCTGCCTTGGGAGGATTTTCACCTGACTAGAGACAACTCTTTTACAGTCAGTAATGGTTCATTTAGCAAATTTAACACAATTTTTCACTTGAATTAAAAAAAAACAAAACAGAATCCTTTCCGGTCCCATTCGTAGATTACTTCAACTTAAATGGATTGACACGTCTTGTAGGCGATCAATCACAGGTATGGTATTAGCAAACGTCAGACGTAAGAACTGGATTATCTGCGCAACATGTGTAGGGCTGTTAACTGTTATCAAACCTGTAATGTACACGTCAGAGTTAACACCCTTTTAAAAAAGTCAATATTAAAACAACAACAACAACGACAACAACAACAACATTGATCTATCTCATTAATCTAATATTGATACGATTCAATAAATACACAGGTAAGCAATCGATTCATCAAACATTGATGGAACACATTATTCCAAAATTAATCCAATTCGTTAATCAAACATTGATATTAATGTTTTTAAATTTAGAAAAACAACAGTTGTTTCGTATAATTTTAAATTGGTGATATGACAGCATTTTGCCAGATTTTAAGGATTTCGCTCTTATACCAAGTGCTGTTATTGGGTACGGAATTTTTGCCATGTATGGCCCCTCCGAAGTTTTCAGGACCCTCAAGTCGGAAACTTGACACCGCCATGGCTCGCGGCGGTGTCACACAGATCCTACCTCTGCGCAGTGTAAGAGATTAGTAGGGAGGAAACTCTTGAAGCCAAAGGATCCACGCAAAACGCATGACTTCCAACGCAACGGAAGTTGCGCGCTAACATGATTACGTGTCGCCGATAATGGATAAGAAGCTTGGGTATTTTAAAACCCTTGCCAAGGATTAAAAACATGCGGCCTCGAGAAAGCCGCTCCTAGGTGACCGTTTCGTCCCGACACAGTCCCGTCCGAACTACTCCCCGAACGGTGGGGTGAGGTAACGCAACACCTTTCCCCGGAGAGGAAGCAAAGCCGTTTTGACCCACGTCCGTACAACTCCCAGGAATGGTGAGAGAAAGTTAAGCTCGAGACTACTCCCGGAGAGGAGGTAAAGCCGTGCCACACCAAGGAACGTACGGCTCCCTGGACGGTGGGGTGAGGTAACGCAACACCACCCCCAGAGAGGAAGCAAAGCCGTTCCAAACCAACGTCCAGACCGAATGACACATTGGGCAAGGGGGGGGTGGTGACGCAAAACCGCCCCTAAATGAGTGGAAGCAAACTGCCCACCCCCCCCCCCACTCGAGACCGTGTTGCATGGCCGGAGTCCTAAGGGACTACTGGGTCATGTTCCATGGCCGGGGTCTTAAGAGAGGGATCTCGACCCCAAAGAGTATTGAACATTACCACGTATGGCCCCAATTTACCTGTTATCTTAGGGATTTTATCTGGACCGAGTGTTTTTCGAGGTTTGAGTTTCTTTATAGCTCCATAGAACTAAGTTGTGTGAAGATCTGTTCAAAACTTTTAGGTCATCATTTAGAGATAGGCCACTGTCTGTCTTATTTTTTGCCCTGATTGAATAATTGAAGCAGTGTTCTTTAAAAAAGATTTCTGCTTTCTTTTTATGTTATATACGCTTTCATAGAATCTGGTTTCGTTCCGAGTTTCCGGCCTTCACCACAGAGGTAGGTTACTTAATAGTGGACCTGTTTACTACTATCCTTGCGCCGTAGTGACTATGTCTTTAACCCTAAGACTACGGCACTACGACGAACCTCAAAAAAAAACAAAAAAAAAACAAACAAACAAACAAACAAACAAACAAACAAACAAATACGGTTCCTGGAGTTTTTTTCGTTTGTTTGGTTTACTTTTTATAACAAAATAAATAATTGGAGTGTCTTCCGTAAAAAAATTTTCCGCTCTTTTCGTGTCAACACCGTAAACAATCGAAGTGTACCAACACCGTAAACATTCGAAGTGTACCAACACCGTAAACAATCGAAGTGTACCAACACCGTAAACAATCGAAGTGATCATGGTCTCGACTCCCGACTGACCAACAACAACTACTATTCACCACTATTCGGAGAGTTCGCGAAATTCGTTTTGCCCTACACACATTTGGGATAAAACAATTTATATTAACAAAAAGAAAAAAAAAATACTTTAACATTAAACAACCCCAAAAACAAACTTTTTTCTTATAAATCCTATCTATGCATTGCTGTTTGATTTGATGTCAGTCTACGTCATTTAACATTTATTAAGAAGCGGCTATGTAAATAGGTAAACTTCTGGCAACACAACATAATTTTCTCTTCATTTTCCCCTTCAAAAATATATTTAATTTTTACTGCATACCCCAAAAAGGCCACACCAAAAGGCTACACAGTTATTCTCCACAACAAAACACGCATCCATTGAACAACAATAATGTCCCACCTACCTTTTGAAAACAAAGGAAAACTGAGTTGTGGGGTTTTAGAGATAGGGAAAATATCAGTTTAATAGGAAGACGGTAAGTGGGTCGATTAGCCTTTCTTTTATAAACAGGAAAAACTGAGTTTTTGGATTTGGGGGTGAGCGAGAGGTTGCTGAGAATTTGATGGAACGAGTTGTCAATGGCAAGGAGTGTTATGCGCCAGTTTTCTGCTCAATAGACTGACGGAAATGGGTCAATTTTCCGTCCGAAGGGTTTGCTACTGAGCAAGAAACACAAGAACAAAGGAAGTTAATAGAAAAGATTTTACATTAACACCTTTGTTAAAATTGTTTGTTTTAAGCAGCTTGTAGCAAATAGCAAATACTCAGCAAATAGTTGTCTCATCCTGCCATCGTACTGTGTGTGAGAGCTGATGTTGATTGTGCTCTTGAGTGGTGGTGTTAAGTGCTTTTGTTGAGTGCGGTTGATTGTGTTCTTGATAGTCCTGTTGATAGTGCTGTAGATGGATATTGTTGAGTGCTGTTGTTAAGTGATGCTGGTGTAGTAAAGCAGTTGTTGTTATGAGTTATTGTCATTGAAAATGGACCAACGCCGATCAAGTGTTCTTCGGTCCAAATTCCCGATGACGCCATCAGGCATAGATACAAACTAACGGTAAATTCGACGTTGAATTAAAACACACAAATCAGCAACAACTGCTTTCTGCGTCATCTGCTTTGGGCTAATTTTAAAAAATTAGAGCTTTGACCTTTGTATTTTTTCTTGTACCATCAGCTATTGTTTATGACATGCAGATAGTACTTTCTATAATCCAATAAGTAAGGAAGTAATTACAGCTGTACCAAGTGCTATTGTTTATGAATAAGTAAGTGCAGCTGCACTAATAGCTGTCGTTTCATCATCATCAGTGGCGTTACAGCCAATGAAGGGCCCTGGCCTGCTCCGCCACATCTTTCCATTCGGAACGATCCATGGCTTTCCGCCTCCATCCGCGAACCCCCCAACCCGCGAAAGTCCTTCTTTACACCGTCGATCCATCTCAGCGTTGGGCGACCGGTGAGTCGTCTGCCGCGAGGTTTTTGCCTGTATATCAAATTTGCTGCTCTACATTCCGGCATCCTTTCAATATGTCCTGCCCAGCGCAATCTGCCTTTTTTGTTATTGATACGACTATGAATGGGTCTTTGTACCATTGATATAGCTCTTGGTTTGTACGGATTCTGCTGACATCATTTTTCTATCGCTGGGCCATACATTTTTTCTGAAGATTTTTCCTCTTCCACGCATTGAGCAGGTTCTCTAACCGTATTTACCAACATATTCCTAAAATAATGCTGACCATAGTTTTTAACAACATATTATCCACATGCTGCTAACCATAATTCTAACAACATATTACTCACATGCTGCCGACCACATTTTATCAACATATTCCCCCATATGTGGCTAACCATACTGTAACAACTATCCCCCACACGTTGTTTACCATATTTTTACTAACATATCCCCCTCTTGATTTATGAATGAAGTGCAGCTGTACCGAGACCAATTTTTATGAATGATGAAGTAACAATGTTTTTAACAACAAATCCTCCGTGCGGCAAACCATATTTTACTAATATATTCCCCCATATGTGGCCAATCATATTTTACCAACATATCCCCAACATATTGCTTACCATATTTTTACCAAATATCCCCCCCCCCCCACATGTTGCCAGCCGTTTGATTACGTTTGCGTGTGTCCAGGCGCTCCAAATGCATTTCTATTAATTTTGTCGATAAGCTGTTACCATGCACATAATGGTTGTGTACAAATTCAAGAGTGTAAAACATATCTTCATCATACGTGGGCGTTAACACTTTGTCAACAAGCAAATTATCTGTCGATGTAAAGCGCCTATATAATCTCGGATCTCTACATACGTTAAAGCAGGTTAAAACAGGCCATCGTTACACAATGGTTTCTTCTCTGATCATCGTCCTGGCCATTGTCGGATGTGCACATCGTGGCATGGGAGACGAAGGGCTGCGTGAGTTGAGCCGGGCCATGACCAAATTCTCACAGAGTCTACACAAGGATCTGGCTCTGGAACAGGTCAATTCCGTGTATTCACCTGCCAGCATTCACCTTGCCTTGTCCATGGCTTACCTTGGAGCTAGAGGCAGCACAGCAGAAGACATGAAATCCGCTTTGCAGGTAGTTTTTTTTAGCATGATTTAGTAGTAATAAAAAAAAATAAAAAAAAAATAAAAAAAAATTCATTTTAAATTGATATCTTTTAAGAATTCTCAGTCAGTTTGAATTTTTTGTTTCAATATTAAGACATAATTGCTTTAAAAAAATGATTGGGTAACCTGCGGAACAATATAAAAAAATATAATTTTACAATGAAATGTTCATCTTATGTATACATATAAACATATATATATATATATATATATATATAAACATATATATATATATATCTTAAAATGTGACAACATCCCATACAATGTAATATATTTCCATCACCTGTTTTTAACTGTATACATATAACTGTATGATGTCATTATAATGACAGTATTATTATTATTATTATTATCCGGTGGCCATAAATGACAAACATTATATTAATTCAATTATATTAAAAAACCATTTGCTATGATATTTTCAATTTTTTTCTGGGCCATCTTGTATATATATAATGTATTTATTTATAATAGATGTATTGATTTCTTTATGTGGCCAAAAAATATGCTAATTTACAGCTGACCAACGTAATTGATCCACACAAATCCCTCCAGACATGGGTCAAGGACGTGATCTCTCAAAAAGATGTCCGAATAGACATCGCCAACAGCCTCTGGTACAACGACAGATTTGAGATTAACCTTGAATACAAGGTACTTAAACTAGAAGACCGTTATTAAAAAAAAAATCTTTAACATAAACTCATATATTTAAGACAACTTCGGACACTCAAAGCTAGAAAACACTCATAAAAGAACCATACTTTTAGTAAAATTGCCTAAGAAAACTATGACGATTGGAGAAAAGGGGTGGGGGGGGGGAGTGTCCCTAATCGTCCTAAATAAATACCCTGACATCATTTATGACGTACCATGTTCTCAAATGCTTTTAAAATTGGAGAAACAAATTTTGTCTTCACAAAAGCTGAAAAAAGTAATAGTGTCATATTATATTTTTCCTCTTGGATTTTTTAAAAACCAGAACAAAGTAAGAGAAACATATCTGGCCGATGTTGAAAAGCTGGACTTCTCGTCTAACAAGCCTGAACAAATTATCAACGAGTGGGTGGCTAATATAACTGACAACAATATTCGAGAAATCATCAGACCTGGTCAGCTTTCAGAAGCTGAAACTCTTCTGGCGCTCATCAACGCCATCTACTTTAACGGAACCTGGGACCAGCCATTCAGCGAAAAGAGAACGAGCAGAGACAAGGATTTCACCAGACCCGATGGTACCATAGTCAGAGTGGACCTGATGAGCCGACAGGGTTATTTCAAAATTAAACAGCTGAAGTCTGTGAATGCTGATGTCTTGAAATTATATTTCAAAGGCAAGAGATTTTCCCTTAACTTTATTTCCCCAAAGTCTCCTTCTGGGTTAAGAGATATTGAGGAGAAACTCATCAGTGGTAGGGAGAATTTGGATGAAATCTTGGATGACATGGTAGAGAAACATCTTGACATCAGTGTACCAAAGTTTAAGATCACGGCTACGATTAATCTAAACGAAGCTTTGAAGAAACTCGGTATAGAAAAGGCTTTCTCCGACTCTGCCGATTTCTCGGGAATCTCTTCGGTGAGTTCGAAAATAACCGACGTTAACCACAAGACTGTCATAGAGGTTCAGGAGTCTGGTACGGTCGCTGCTGCTGCCACGAGTGTTGAGATGCAAGTGAGATCTCGCACATCTCGTTTCGTCATCGACCATGCTTTTCTGTTCTTCCTGATGGACGAGGAACAACGAGTGATTTTGTTTTACGGCAAGGTCACTGACCCCACCGTTAAGAAAATTGAGATATAATGAAGACTTTCTTTTAAGACTCACATTCGTACATTCCGGACATTTTGAGATCGTCAATATAAATTATAAAATACAATGTGTTCAAAGGTCTTCTTTTTTCTTTTTTTAAATTTAAAATCATACATTCATTAAACATCTTGGAAGACGTGAACTTATATATATCTATAGACCTAATAACCCCCGAGTCTGTGTCAGAGTGGTTCTCAAGAGAGTAGTTTCAAGCTTCAAAGTGTATTTCGGTCAATTAGTAAAAAAAAAAAAAGGGGGGGGGGGTGGGGGAGGGGGATTTAAAAAAAAAAGTAGTTTCAAGCTTCAAAGTGTATTTCGGTCAATTAGTAAAAAAAAAAAAGGGGGGGGGAGTGGGGGAGGGGGATTTAAAAAAAAAAGGGTGGGGTGGGGCTTACTTAATTTAAGTTTTAATGCTCTGTAATATTTAAGGCAATTTATGGTTCACGTGGACTCCGTCTCAGTGCAGTGTGAAGCCGTTGTCATGGACAACAACTCGCAGTCACGTTTACTACAGCAAGTGTACAGTAACTGATTGGCGTAACATTTTCTCAGAGTTTCATTCATAGCTTTGAAGGCCGTATTGTTATGTAGCACACTTTCCTCGTGCCGTGCAATCTGGTTGACACCACATGAAACTTTTGATCTGTCGTGTTTATTGCCGACAGCAACTAAAAATAACTAATATGTTCTCAGTGGTGTTTTGTCGAATGTTCGCGATTGTGTTAGAAAAGTAAAGGCGTTTCTGGACGCGTCAGTAGACCCACATATATAAGGGTTTGACAGGCACGGAGATTCAGATAGATGTTATTAACTTTACGAGACAATTGTATTATTCTTTGTGTGCTCATTCGCATTCATCATTCATCATTATTAATTGGCACATTGTACTAATTGTGTACCGGTACAAGATTTTCCCATACTCTGTAAGTTGATGATTTGTATTTTATTTCTTTTGTTTTGTAATTGTATTATTACTAAATTAAATTTTATTAATTGTAATTGGCAACTGTTTTTGCGTGTCGTATCTTTATTATTGTATTTCTCTATGGTATCGTCCTTTGTCGTGCACTGTGTGAACGAGCCATAACTTAAAACAAGAGATTAATTTCTCACAATAGAAGCCAGTGCGTAACAGCAGTTAATTCATTAGCGATGTGCCTACGTTGAAAATTCAATACAAATATTCCCTAACAGTTTGCTAATGAGAGATTCCTTTGCATTCATTTTGTCACTGCTTAAAGCAGTGGCGTCGCGAGGGGGGGGGTGCGGACCGCACCGGGTGACACCATTTTAGGGGTGACACCCAAGTTAAAAATTGCATATTCACAGAGCACACACTGATCGAACTTACCAAGATTCATAAAAGAATAACCGATAACACCTATATTTTTTCACAAATTTTACCAATCCAAATGCGTGCTTTATTAAAAGTTCAAGGTTGATGCGTCAGAAATGAGATGACCCTATGTTTAAGTTAGAAAAAACACAGTCATTATTCAACGCTGATTGAAGTGTTGGTAACTTCCCTAAGTGACAGGAGGCTATATTTATATAAATTCTAAGAAATAGGGCTTTCCGTTGATGCCAGATGCGTAGTGAGGTGGGGGTGGGTAAAAGAGGGGGGCAGATTGACCCGGGCTCAAACTAGTTAGGGACGCCAAAATGTGCTTTGATATTATATTATTGGTAAAAATAATGGGTTTGAGAGTTGAAAAAAAGAAAAAGGGGCGCTTTAAAATGGATCTTGTCCCCGTGCGCGAATCTTGTCCCGGGGCACCAAAAACCCTCTCTACGCCTCTGACGGTGCAGTTCTGGCGATTCAAGTATAAGAATTGGTAAAAATGAAAAACATTAAAAATGAATTTTTACCCATTCATAGGGTTAAAAAAAAAATATTATTTTACAAAATTTTTTGAAGACATAATATGTATCGAAACCTAGAAATACTCAAAAATTAATATTTTCCCCGATTCGTCACTGGTATCGCCCCTTAAAATTTGAGCACGATTATCACATTTCGACAGCTGCTACATTTCTTTGTTGTATTTTGGACATTGCCCTGACTGATCTTTTTGAACTGTCGTCAGCAATTATTTTGTTTGTTGTCTTGAACATGACAAAATTAAAGCATTTTTTATAGTTCAAGATTATTATATCATGCCACACGGCGTGCACAAAGCTGTCAGCAGCGAAAAGCACACAACCCCCCCCCCCCCCCCCCCCCCCAGAAATGTCAGCTGATAATGTTGATTCAAACCAAGAAACTGTAAGTCTAATGGTTAATGGCAAAACTGGCACATTTTACCTGATGCTTCTCTCTGGAATGTACCAGTTCCAGATTATTTTCGGTATAAAATTATTACACTATGGAGTACCTAGTTTCAGAACAATGACGGACTATTCAGCGTAGTGATAAGGTAAATTGCGAAATCTAAAGGGGGTGTTCGCCAACTAACAAGACAATGGATCTACGGGATGAAGCCAAATGGTGAGAATATACCGCGGTCGTGGATAGTTTATTCACTCGTCAGTCAGAAATTGTATCGTTTTTGCTGTTAATGTTACAGAAACAACGTCCTAATTTGTTACTGGCTTTGATAAGTGGTGGAAACTGAGCCCAAAAATTACAAAATCATGAAGCATCGGAGGAGCACCTATGTTGCCTTGAAACGTGGAAAACATTGGCAGCAGGACTTAGGATACACAAAACAATTGCTGCCGAAAGTATTGCTGTGATGGACAGGGAGAAGAAAAAAATGGAGGGATATCCTGCACAGGTTGCTAGACTTCACATTGTATCTTGCAAAGCAAAATCTGGCATTTCGTGGCCACAACGAAGATGAATCTTCACTAAAACTTTCTTAAAATGGTTGAGAAGTTATCTAAATACCCAAAGTTAAAAGAGCACCGAATACGACTAAAGAGGAGTGCATCTACGGTAAAAGCATCCTCATCTCACCTATCACCGGAAACCCAAAATGAATTTATAAATGTCTTTGCAAATCATGTGAAGGAGATTCTTATCGTGGATATAAAGGCTGCGAGGTATTTTGGAATTATGTTCAAAAGCACACCTGATATTTCACACACTGACCAGATGTCTGAAGTGATAAGATATGTGAAAATCCACAATAGGAAAGTTGAAGTGAGAGAAGTGTTTCTTGGACTTTCCCGTTAAAGGGGAAAAAAGCTGACGACCTCAGTTCTTACATTCTTATAAATCTAAAATATGATGGATTAGACATACTGATGTGCAGAGCTCAAGGTTACGATAATGCTGCCACAATGTCTGGAATCCATGGAGGTGTCCATTCTGACAAGAAATAATAAGAAATCAATTTTAATGGATGTGTGGGCCATTCACTTGACTTCACTGGGCAACACTCTTTTGCAGAAAATGCTTCATGTATTAGATTTTTCAGTATTCTTGAAAACATATTTTCCTTCTTTGCTGCATCCACTCATCAATGTAAAGATCTAATTGAACACACTGGAATATCGTTGAAAAGACTATCAACAACAAGTTGGAGTGATCACCATGCTACTGTTAAAACAGTGAAAGACGAGTTTGATGAATGTGTGGCTGTGATTGAAGCTCTGTGTAATCCTCTTGAAATTCGGATACAATGGGTACAGCACAAGGCCTTTTAAATGATGTCTGTAATTTAACGCTTATCTGCTACCTTTAGCTTTGGGATGATCTACTTTAGGAAGTTAATCTTACACAGCAGTATCTGCAGACTAAAGGCTTTACTCTTCACAAAGTGGTGAAAAACCTAGAGGCATTAAGATTGTTCCTGCACGAGAAGCGCCGTCACTTGGTGGAACATGCTATTGAAAAGGCATTTTTAAAATCAGACCAATAAGGAATTTCGATTTGAGAGGAGATTAAGGTTTAAGAAGAGAATGGCGGGAGAACAATTAATAGATGCTAGACCTAGCCTATTGATCGCTTTCATTGTAAACTCCAGATCAGATCATCAGCGATCAAGGAAGTAGCCGATATGTTTGGGGCTGTTCAACCCAAGAATCTAGTATCAGCAAGTGAAGAAGAGTTATTGGTGTCCGTTCCAAAATTAACATCTTTCTATGATGAGTTATCAGAAGATGAACCTTTAAAAGAAATATCAAGGCTTAGAAGACATCTAAAGGCAGTTGATATTGAATTTCACAAAGTCATGGACTGGTCACTATTTGATGTTTTGAAATTCATAGCTGAATGGGACTTACTAGAATATCTTCCAATACTCTCGCTAAGCCATTAATTTTTTCTTACGTTATGACATTGTGTGTGTGTGGCTTCATGTGAGCGGAGCTTTTCAAAACTAAGGCTTATCAAGAAATATTTATGATTCACTACGGACGACTATTTGATGAGCATGACCCTTTTAAATAATAAAAGAAACCGACTGCAAATGCATGACACATTTTTTTCTTTCTTAGTGCCCTATATGCTGTTGTATAAAATACACAATTTTAGAGCAATTATTACTCAAATACCATCAAACGAAATTAGTCCGACAAGTATTTTGTATAAAAAAAATTAGAAAAAAAAAAAAAAAACACCACTCATGGAATCAATAGGGGCCTATAAGTCAAGGTGAGAACCATTCAATCTGTCAATAAAATAAAATAATAATTATTTTTTTATTCCGATCACTATTTTAAAACATTCCTAAAATGACCCCATCGCAACACACTGAGAACCACTTATTAACCTTAAATAAAATTCAAATAATAACCCAACAAGACCACTCATTAAGACAACTCATAAAGACCACTCATTAAGACCACTCATTAAGACCACTCGTTATATTATAATGACCGAGTTCATTCTTTTAACAACACAAGCCCACTCATTGAAAATGCAAGTAGTAATCTCATACAAAAGGAACATTTTAAAATCACCACACACACAGTAACACAATTATTAATTAAACTATTAAAAAACCTGTCACACAACAAATGGAGGCTATTAATTAAAATGCAAATTAAAAATAATAATTCCAATATCCCCGTTACCCACCTTCGTCGACCTCCTGCTGACCTTCTATACTCCTCCCTCCTGTACCCTTTTCATCTCCTCCAGAAAAGTAGCCGTAGTATGTGACGTTCCCCATTATTAGTCCAACATTCATACAACACATTTTTCCGACATTCATACAACTGATTAATCCAACATTGGTGTGACTCATTAATAAAAAATTGCTGTGACTCATTAGCCATATAACAATAACAACTTTAAATTTTATTTGTATTTTTAAGGGGGGGGGGGGGGGGGGAATTTTTTTGATACTTTTAATTATTTGGGAAAATTTTTTTTTTTAATTTAAATTTTTTTTTTTTTTTTTTAATTTTTTTAAATTTTTGATACGACAGTATTTTTACAGTTATTAAGGATTTCGCTTTTGTGCCAAGTGCTGTTTTTAGGTACGGGTGTGGCTTTTTGCCTTGTATGGCCCCACTTTAACAGTATATTTTAGGGATTTTGTATGGGCCTGGTGTTTTTCGAGATTTCAGTTTCTTTATAACTCTGTAAAGCTCAGTTTGTGTGAAGATTTCTTCAAAATGGGCCATTTATTTAATTTGGCTGTATTGATAGCTATTCTCTTTTGGCTGTCTTGATGGTTATTTCTGGGATAGTTAGTGAGGAAGCTTCTAATAGGGCCTTGGTGATTTGTTCGCATGCCTTGTCTGTGTTGTATGGACTGGGAGTTGAAAATACTTGATTTCTGTATCCTTGGTCACTACCATCTTAATCGAGTACCTTTTGTGACCTGACCAGAGAATGAAGAAATTGTGGAATCAAGAGTAGGATGATTATTATTTTGTTTAGCTGGCTAGCGTATATAGCTCTTTATTTTCTTCAAAATATATGTTTAAAAAAAAAAACAACAAAAAAAAAAAAAAAAAAAAAAAAAAAAAAAAAAATTTTTAAAAAAATTTTTTTTTTTTTTTTTTCTTTTTTTTTTTTTTAAAAATTTTTTTTTTTTTTTTTTTTTTTTTTTTGTTGCTTTAAGTTTTAAAACTCAAGAGTTTTAATACATTGTTATTTTAAAGCTGTTTTGAAAAAAACTACATCTTTCATTTAACAAATAACAACTTACTACACATTTTTTTTTTGTTGCTTTAAGTTTTAAAACTCAAGAGTTTTAATACATTGTTATTTTAAAGCTGTTTTGAAAAAAACTACATCTTTCATTTAACAAATAACAACTTACTACACTGATTGCTTGATGAGCTATTATACTGGCTTTTAGTTCAATATGTGTGTGTGCTATCTTAGTGCATTTGAAAAAAGCTACATCTTTCATTTAACAAATAACAACTTACTACACTGATTGCTTGATGAGCTATTATACTGGCTTTTATTTCAATATGTGTGTGTGCTATCTTAGTGCATTTGAAAAAAAACGCTTCAAAAAACCAACTGAAGTAAATGTCTATTCTCTGTTACCATTGTCATAAATCCACTAAATAAATCTAGTAAATTTTATAAAGAAGTCAGCCACGTGTTAAATTTAAATCTTAACAATTGTCTCAAATTTAGATGCTGTATTTATGAACGTGTTCAGTATTTAACAAAAACTACAGATAATTACTTCATGAATTGTGGTGATTGAAGGATTTTTTGTTGTAATAATTTTTTTTTAATTTTTTTTTTTTAAATTTAGTATTTGAAATCAACAAGTAAAATAATAATTCTGCTTCTCTTTATTGCTTAATGTTTGTGAAATAGATTTTTTTTGGGAAAAAGAACTGCTATTTTTACTTTGCTGATGAATTAAAAAAAAAATAGAAATCAATACTTTAGTTGTACTTGTATTATGATTGAAGCTTTAGTGCTTTCTTAACCTTTAATACACATAATTATTCAAAGTGACTCATGACTGTAACTTTTTAGCCACCTAAAAGAATTATATGTCATTTAAAATTTAATTGATATCAGATGTTTGTTCAAAAAATACTTGCTAAAATTGATTTATTATTATTTTTAGGCAATAATTATTTTTTAACTTGGACGAAAAACATAACATCACAGCTTTCCATAAAAAAAAAATTGTTTAAAAAAATTGAAATAAAATGTGTACTTTCTTAGTGCATATTCAATGTTACAACAAATATTGAAGTTTCAAAAGAGTAGACTTATAAATAAAACTGTTGTGGCTATTTGTAGACACCATTTCATTAAAGGCAATAATGCCTAAAAAAGTCGAAATTATTTTAAAAAAATAAAAAAATTCAAAGTAAAACTTATACTGTAGCAAATAATCACTTGGAAAATTATTAGTCAGTATTTAGTTAGAATAAAACTTAAAAAAAACAACACATTTTAAAAATTAATTACTGGTTTTTAATAATTTTTTTTACATCACAGAGATATGATCAGATAATATAGTCCTTCACAGAGTCGATGCATATAAAATTATTGAAAACAATTTCTGTCTTTATTAAATAGTAATCATAAAAGAACATTCTGGACCACAGTCTTTTAAAATTTAGAGCTCGAATAAGTCCTGCATGTATAATACAATTCACTTAGTTGTTAAAAATTCTCGTCAGTAATGTTAGATCTATACCAAGTTTTGAAAATAGAAAGTTTCTTTAGTCATATCCATTCCCCCGCGAACATAGCGTACAAACAAATTTATGCAATCAAATCTGTACTAAAATAAACTGTTAAAAAGTACATTTGCTTTTGAAATCTCCTTATATCTTCTCTTGTTTTAACATCAGGAAGCAGTATGCTTTGTACCTCTGGTCTAAATGCAGATGTCCACTTAGAGCCCCACAGTAAATGTCATTATAATCATACTCAATGACATCTGCCCATATTAGATGGTGTCAAAATATTTTGAAATTATATTTATATGGACCAATCTATAAATGAAATCACGCTAATTTTGCTGTTTTTTTTAACCCCATCGTCAAATAAAGTTAGACCACCTTCCCTCACAAAATAATGTCACAAAACTCTGCTGCCCGTAAAAATAAGGTACAATAACAGTAAATATTCGAAAAACGGCAACACTACGGGCCCGTACATTAAATTTACTGTATCTCACCGTAAATATACAATAATTGACAGCGACGACACTAAAGTACCATATTAATGTTTTGCGATACTCTACCGTAAAAAGGTTTACGGTAGGGCTAAGTTTTATTACGCGATTTTGATGGCAGGCAGTTGATGGCAGAGAAGCCATATACATTTTTACCATGCACCATATTTTTTCCTACATATGCCCAACAAATTGCTTACCATATTTTTACCACATATTCCCCCCACATGTTGCCAGCCATTTATTTGCCTTTGCTGTGTGGCCAGACGCTCCAAATGCATTTCTTTCAATAAGCTATTACATTGCAGATAATGATTGTATACAAATTCGAGAGTCTTGTAAAAAATATCTTCATCATACGTGGGCGTTAACAGTTTGTCAACAAGCAAATTATCTGTCGATGTAAAGCGCCTATATAATCTCGGATCCCTATCTATGTTAAAGCAGGCCTTCACCGCTGACCAAACAGGCCATCGTTACACAATGGTTTCTTCTCTGATCATCGTCCTGGCCATCGTCGGATGTGCACATCGTGGCATGGGAGACGAAGGGCTGCGTGAGTTGAGCCGGGCCATGACCAAATTCTCACAGAGTCTACACAAGGATCTGGCTCTGGAACAGGTCAATTCCGTGTATTCACCTGCCAGCATTCACCTTGCCTTGTCCATGGCTTACCTTGGAGCTAGAGGCAGCACAGCAGAAGACATGAAATCCGCTTTGCAGGTAGTCTTTTTTTTTTTTTTTTAGAACTATTTACATTCTGTAATACTAATTTGTCTTTAAAAACAAACAAAACAGGTGCTCGTTATGAGAGGTTCCACTGTATATATAGAGATAACATCTCTACAATGTAATATAATTACATCAACTGGTGTTAACTGTATACATATTTACTCATTATATAACTGTATGATGGCATTATCATGACAATATCCGGTGGCAAAAACTGATAAAACATTATATTAATTTAATATATTAAATATAACCCTTTGCTATGAGATGTTCTCATTTTTTTGCGCCGACCAGTATATATATATAATTTATGTATTTATATATTTAAAATATATTTATTTATTTATGTAGCCACAAAATATGCTAATTTACAGCTAACCGACGTGACTGATCCTCACCAATCACACCAGACATGGGTCAGGGATGTGATCTCACAAGGAGATGTCCGAGTAGACATCGCGAACAGCCTCTGGTACAACGACAGACTTGAGATTTACCCTGAATACAAGGTACCTAAAATAGAAGGCCGTTACTTTTTTTTTCATCTCTTACTCTAGCTCAAAAATTTAAAACAACTTGGGTTACTTAAACAAAACCCCCCTTAAAAAAAACCCTCTTATAATAGAACATAATTTTAGCCACTTGTGTGAGAAATCTGTGACTATAGGAGAAAGGGATGGGGTGTACACAATCGTCGGAAATAGTCTCACGCCATTTATGACGTATCATATTCTAGAATGCGTTAAAAATTAGAGGAAAAAATATTTCCACACTAAAGCTGTGTCATATTAAATTTTTCCTCTTGGTTTTTAAAAAAAAAAACAGAACAAAGTAAGAGAAACATATCTGGCCGATGTTGAAAAGCTGGACTTCTCGTCTAACAAGCCTGAACAAAGTATCAACGAGTGGGTGGCTAATATAACTGACAACAATATTCGAGAAATCATCAGACCTGGTCAGCTTTCAGAAGGTAAAACTCTTCTGGCGCTCATCAACGCCATCTACTTTAACGGAACCTGGGACCAGCCATTCAGCGAAAAGAGAACGAGAAGTGGCGAGGCTTTCACCAAACCCGACGGTACCAAAGTCAAAGTGGACCTGATGAGCCGTGAGGGTCGTTTCAAAGTTAAAGAGCTGAAGTCTCTGAATGCTGATGTCTTGAAATTATATTTCAAAGGCAAGAGATTTTCCCTCAACTTTATTTCTCCAAAGTCTACTTCTGGCTTAAGAGACATTGAGGAGAAACTCATCAGTGGCAGCGAGAAGTTGAATGACATCTTGAATGACATGGAAGAGGAATATCTTGACATCAGTGTACCGAAGTTTAAGATCACTGCTACGATGAATCTGAACAAAGCTTTGAAGAAACTCGGTCTAGATAAGGCTTTCTCTGACTATGCCGATTTCTCGGGAATCTCTTCGGTGAGTTCGAAAATAACCGACGTTAGCCACGAGACTGTCATAGAGGTCCAGGAGTCGGGTACGGTCGCTGCTGCCGTCTCGAGTGTTGAGGTAGTGTCCAATGGTCTCCCGCAACGTTTTATCATCGACCATGCTTTTCTGTTCTTCCTGATGGACGAGGGACAGCGAGTGATTTTGTTCCATGGCAAGGTCACTGACCCCACCGTTAAGAAAATTGAGATACAATGAAGGCTTACTTTTAAAGCCCAGATTCCTACTTTTCGGACATTTGGAGTTCTTCATTATCAATTCTAAAATAAAATGTTTTCGAAGCTCTCATTCATTTCGTTTTTATTTATATTCAATTACTTATCGAAACCGTGGAAAACTCTCTCTCATAATAAATATGTATATAATAATAATAATAAAGTTTATTTGAAAAACACACTTCATCCCCAAAAGCTCGAAGCGTGGTACAAAGTCAGCCATATTTAAAAGATAAATAAAAACAATGTAAAATTTACCACATTTAAAAACAGACGCAACAATATAAAAACTACATACCAGCATACCAAGTAAAAGTCTTTCATCCCATTTCAATCACAAGCAACACAAGCCAATATACATTAACTGGAAAAAGATGATAGTCAACATCAGTCCAGAAGGTGTTTGCGAAATAGATAAGTTTTTAAATCGGTTTTAAAAGACTACAGTGTCTGGCTGTTTCTGAGAGCGACAGGAAGGGCGTTCCAAATTGTTGGGCCAGCAAATGCAAAAGTGCGCTTTCCGTAAGTCTCAAGGCGAACACACGGTATCGATATTGTAAAGAAACCTTGCTTACTCTCTAGCTAAACTTCATCTTAATCTGGTACTCAATGAGGAAACAACTCCAGTGATACATTTGATGATTAAACTCGTGTTCTTTATTGGCTGTCACTTGCTTACACTTTCACTCGTCTCACAACTCTGACTTCTCCCTCTATCTAGTTCTCAGTCTGGCCGCCTTCTGTGCTAACCCTCCGGTCGCGCTCCCTTTTTTGTCCCGTCCAGAGATCCCTACTTATACCTCCCTGTCCCATAGTTCCTCTCCCAGTCCAGATTATACCCCGCCCCCTTTTCTCGATAGTCGCCATGGTCTAGACGTTCCAGGTAAATGCCCTGGTCAGATGGATGGTCGTGTCTGGGTGTCAGACGGCCGTAATTGGTCAGGCGTTTGATCCTTGGGTCCGTCGTGCTCCACAAGCTTGATCCTTCGGTCAGACGGATTACGTCAGGCGCCGTCGTGGTCCGGCGCTCGTGCGTGGTCCGACTCTCCACAAGCTTGGGTGGTCAGACGGATTACGTCAGGCGCCGTCGTGGTCCGAACTCTCCACAATATGTTGCCATTAACGGATGAGCGGAGCTGTCGTTTGGGTACATTAGGCGTCATGACTGCTTTGAGATAGGACGGTGCCAGGTCATGTAAGCAGCGGTAGCACAACGTTGCGATTTTGTACTCTATGCTAGCGCGGACCGCCAGCCAGTGCAGCTCTCTCAGAAGTGTTTTAGCATGGTTATATTTGCATTGCGAAAAACAATGCGAGCCGCATTATTCTGTGCTATTTGAATTTTATCCAAGGTGCGTAACTGGAAGACACACCATGAGAGCATTGCAGTAGTCCATGCGTGATAGGACGAATGCAGGCATCAGCCTCTTTGATGCGTCGAACGTTAAGAAAGGTCTGATATGACTAATTCTGCGGAGCTCTAGAACAATCGCATAGATATATATATATATATATATGAGAGAGAGAGAGAGAGAGAGAGAGAGAGAGAGAGAGAGAGAGAGAGAGAGAGAGAGAGAGAGAGAGAGAGAGAGAGAGAGAGAGAGAGACAGAGAGAGAGAGAGAGAAAGTTTGTCGGAGTAGTTCTCAGGTCTCAAAAACGTAGTTTCGAGCTCCAAAGTGTAGTTTGGTAAATTAGCGGGGGGGGGGGGTGTTAGTACTTAATAATAGGTGCCATTCCAGTGTTCTTGAGGACCAGTTCTCTTTCTCAGAAACTTCATTGAAATCATATCCGAGGAAGTAAATGGCACAATGTTAATCCTGGAAACTCGAGGAGCTTTTTCATTGTTCTGACATTTTCTTGATAAGTTCTGTTGTTTTGTTTAGAGTATTAACACATCTAATGAAACGCACTAAAATGATATTCGAAAACTTACTAATCAGTGATCATTTTCTCCGCTGGAATTTTAAAAAATTATAATAATTAATAGCCAGGTCTAGCCCGAGCCCACAGGTCTAGTTATAGCCCAAAGGTCCAGCCAAAGCCCTCATGACTAGCCACAAAAAAACATGTTGAAATTTTTGCCAACTCATTTTTTAACATTTTGATTTACCTATAATTAAAATATAATAAGTCCCCCCCCCAAAAATCAGCTTCTTTAGGCTCGTCAATGTGCCATAGTCATAGTGCTGTAGTCTGAGTCTGAGTGTGGTAGTCTGAGTCTGAGTGTCGCAGTCTTAGTCTTAAAAACGTAATAAACGGCACAATAAAGAAATACTTTTATTTTAAAAAGGTATGAGTTAAGTAAAAATAATTGTATGGTGTGTAGAGGAAAAAAAAAAAGAAAATTTGTAAGTGTTCATTTATAATATGGCATCCTTCCATCTTCGTGAGACGATGGAGTAGCTCTATAGCTCTACACTTTGGCGAGTGGCTCACTAGGCCAATCCTAGAATGGCAATCACGGCCGCATCTCTCGCAGGAGAATGTTGAATCCCGGTAAATTCTTGATTTTCGAATTGTTCTTTTTGATTCGAGGGCCTCGTTTCGAGTAACTTCTGCCTTTTTCACTCCTCTAAACACTGCTGTACGCCAGTTGTAGCGATGTTCGGCCATGAACTCCCATTCGTTTGTTTCAATATTGGCTTCCCTCATGCTTCGTTTGCAAATTTCAGGCGCGGTCGTCCAATATGTCTTGTCCCCTCTGCCAACTCACCATACAGCAGTATCTTTGGGATACGTCCTTCCTCCATTCTCCGTACACGACCTAACCAGCGAAGGCGTCTCTTGATTAGAAAGGAGAATATGCTAAACATGTGTGCACGTTCCAAGACCTCCACGTTAGTCACCCTGTCCTGCCAACGAATGCGCAAAATGCGACGCATCAAAGTGTTCATTGAAGTATTCATTTCAAAACACAATAGCGTGTCACCAGTCTAAGTACCTGTTTCTGATGAAAAAAAAATTCTCTCTGCTCATAGGAGATGAATATTATGAACTTTTACAAACTAAAAATACAAACCCTAATTCAGAACTGCCCTAACTCCACCAAAGCACGCAGTAATCCCCCCCCCCCCCACAGACACAAAAAAAAAATTCTCTCTGCTCATAAGAGATGAATATTATGAACTTTTACAAACAAAAAATACAAACCCCAATTCAGAACTGCCCTCACTCCCCCCAAGCACGCAGTAACCCCCCCCCCCCCCACAGACACATACAATACACAAACACACAATATAAATATACACATAATAATCGCCACACACCACCCATGTACACACACAAATAATCACACACAACTCACCACATCTCATCTTCTTGTGTATATTCTGTCTTGTGAGATGATGGGATGAGGTGGTATATATTCTGTCTTGTGAGATGATGGGATGAGGCGGTATATATTCTGTCTTGTGAAATGATGGGATGAGGTGGTATATATTCTGTCTTGTGAAATGATGGGATGAATTGGTATATATTCTGTCTTGTGAAATGATGGGATGAGGTGGTATATATTCTGTCTTGTGAAATGATGGGATGAGGTGGTGTATATTCTGTCTTGTGAGATGATGGGATGAGGTGGTGTATATTCTGTCTTGTGAGATGATGGGATGAGGTGGTATATATTCTGTCTTGTGAAATGATGGGATGAGGTGGTGTATATTCTGTCTTGTGAGATGATGGGATGAGGTGGTATATATTCTGTCTTGTGAAATGATGGGATGAGGTGGTGTATATTCTGTCTTGTGAAATGATGGGATGAGGTGGTGTATATTCTGTCTTGTGAAATGATGGGATGAGGTGGTGTATATTCTGTCTTGTGAGATGATGGGAGATGATGGGAGATGATGGGATGAGACGGTGCAGATTCTGTCTTGTGAAATGATGGGATGAGGTGGTGTATATTCTGTCTTGTGAGATGATGTGAGATGATGAGATGAGACGGTGCAGATTCTGTCTTGTGAAATGATGGGATGAGGTGGTGTATATTCTGTCTTGTGAAATGATGGGATGAGGTGGTGTATATTCTGTCTTGTGAGATGATTTGAGATGATGTGATGAGAAAGTGCAGATTCTATCTTGTGAAATGATGGGATGTGAAAATACAGATTCGGTCTTGTGAGATAAGTTGCTATACATTATGTCTTGTGGGATGTGGTTGCTATACATTATGTCTTGTGGTATGTGGTTGATATAGATTCTGCATGTCTGGTGGGATGAGGGTTATTGACACATTTTATCTTTTAAAATGATGAGTTGGCGTTGGTATAAAGATTAAAGATTCTTTTTTTTTTATAACCCTGTCGACTTCAAGGGCCTTTTCAGAGCAGAAATATAGTAGTGTAAATCAAATATCAGATTGTTGTTTAAAATGTATGAAAAAATATCAGACTGTGGATAAAGTAATCTTATCGCTAGTTTTTTTCCCCGTCTGCATCATTTGCATGGGATCGGACTGGGATTCGATTTTTCTGACTTCGCAGCCCAGGTGGTACCACTAACGTCACCTCCTCTGTCCCCATCCCCTACCCGGAGACTAGGCCATAAATGTGTTTTGTCCCAAGCGTCCTTATCATCACTCGTACCATTCAGTGTTACATATACTAGAGTTAAATGAGACAGCATCTCTTGCTAAAACTATTGCTTACCAATTTCATTTTCTGTTTCATAGACATGGTTTCAAGGGAAAATCTTTTTTTAAAAATATAGCAACTTATGCAGGACGAGACAAATTTTGTGCAATGGCTACAAGGAAGAGCAACCAAATCAAATGGCGCACTCATGCATCATGCGTGAGATATTTCAAGAGCAAATAGACGCGCGAGTGCAAACGCAACAGACAGTATACCAAATAAAGATGACCTCATTAGATTGATTTACGGAAAAATACGCCTTATGAATCTCCAATAAGACCGATGGAAGAGGAAAAAAGATATAACAGGATCCTTTGGCTAAAACCGGCCATACAACTTCTGCTGATGATGACGACGTTGATGTTAATATTAATTCCTTCATCCCCCGAGGAACCCGGGACGGCACCCCATCCACCCGTCTCCGATGACGTTTTAGACTA